TTGTTTGTGAAAACAAGCGCCTTCACAACGAAGTGGACGCTCTTCATGAGGAACTACGGGACATGCGGCGCGAGCTGACGGCGCTAAAGATGGCCGGGCTGAGTCCCCCCACCACTGCGTCGACTGCGCCGCCCCTGTCCCCGGTTCGGAAGAAGTCGGGACGGCCGAGAACCCGTTCGGAACCCCTCCCGGATTTAGGTCCGGACTCTGGCGGAGAAAAAGTTCCCCCCGCCCCACCTACGGAAGTTGTGGGACGAAAGGACAATGACGCGAAGCAGTCCCCACCGAGCCTGGTTACTCAGCCCGATGGGGAAAAGCTCCCTGCAATACGACCGGTGGGACTTCACGATATTGAATCCTTATTCAAGGCCCACCGCAGGAAGACTGACAGGTGGATGACAGAAAAACTATCCGTCTTCTTCGACCAAGTTGTCAACCGCCTGTCTGTCCGTCCCTCGTTGCATGGTGAAACCCGAGCGGGAAAAGATCGCGTCCCAGCGGTCACAGAAGGCGACAGTCCCGCGGCGGAGAACACCACGGGGGCGGTGACCCCTTTGATTGTCGCCAAAACGAGTGATGAGGCCTCAAAAGGGGGAGCCAAAAAAAGAGGAAAAAGGCAAAGACAAAGGGAAATGCTGGGAACAGCGGTGAAAACCGGCCGGTAACCGGAGAGCTGGTTAGAGCCATCCCCCAGGCGACTAAGCCAAAGCCTGNCCCCTCATCATCCTCTACCCAGCCTTCTGCTCCCACCACACAACAAGACTCTGGTCTCAGGTAGTGGGACGCAAAGAGAAGGCGGCGAAACCCCACACCCCGGCACCGACGGCGCACAGTGGATCCAAACATTTAAATTTGTGGACATNACATTTTTTTATGTTAATAGCTCACCATTTATAATTTCTATGCATTTTGTGACATAATTTAGTATAAATAAATAATATTGAACAATATTTTCCAAAACTTTAAATTTTCAAAAAAACTGTTTTCCAAAATAAAAAAATTAAAATAAGTAGTCTATTTTTTCAAAATTTTATTTTACATTAAAATCAACTTTAGACAAGTTTTTTTTAAGAGAATACCTTTATAAAGAACGNAAATGTGAGCAAAATATATAATTTGAAAAAAACATGAAGTAAGTAAAATGACCATCTGAGCACCATATAATAAATTAAATAAACATAAAGGAAACAAAATAAACATCTACATTAGAAAAAATTTAGAAAAATTAATTTTTTTTTGTGTGGTGAGGTTTTTAAAGAACCTTTCTCTTACAAAGGTAGCCTATCTCTACAATGAATTGCAGACAAAATGCAAAAATTTGACAAGTTTAGATGGACTCGTCAGATTGTCCATCATTTGTACTCATATTGATGTCATTCGGAGTCTCATATTTTAATTTAATAAGTTAGAAANCATTACTATTGGATTGTTCGGATAATAAGTTTGTTAATTTTCAGGAAAATAAACGACAATTTTTTTATAATATAAAAATATTTTATTTAATTATATATATTTTTATAAATAAACCTTGAAATGTTAATAATATGGTTTAGAATNAAGTTGACTAGTTAAAAGTATGACTAACGACACTCATGGGAAAAGACGAAATTACTTTCTAAACAAANCAATATAATTTTATACGACTATGTTGTAATACTTTATATAAAAAATAGTACGTTGCNAATCACATTTATAAAAATGTATCTTAACTATGTTATTTATAATAATTAATATAATTCTCAATTAAGAATAACAGATAATAAATACTTCATAACTTATTGCAACAAAAGTATGAAGAGATATATCTCATAAATGGGCACTTACGGGCAATTAATCTTTATACATATTTGAAGTAAAACTGTCATAGAATGATATCCATGTTTAGATTATTTGGTCAAATATGGTAAATTTTTTATATAGTTTAACGAAGTTATGATTATAGTTATATTTCTACGTTTGACCATAAAATGAGTGTATAGATAATAATATAGATGANATCTTATAATTATGTGCAAAAACCAAGAGATAAATGTGTTAGATTGAACGTACATAAGCAGTCAAGATTCCAGGATAAAAGTATTATTGTGTAATTTTAAGACAAATAAAAGTAATGTTTCATCAACACTTTTAAAATTACAGACTTGTTCGTGTTTGAGTAATAATAGTGAATAAATTATTAATAAAATTATTTTAATCGATTTAAAATGCTTTGGTTTAATCGTTCTACAATACATTTTGCATGATTTAAATAGAAACATCACTACTTCATAATCAACACAAAATACGCTCGCAATATAAACAATATATAAAAGAAAAAAACAGGTCTCTTAAACGAGCAATGTAGGAACTTTATTAACAAAAATCCGCAATATAAATATCAACAAGAAATAATAAATAAACGTTTTGACCCTACTTGAGTCCTCTTCAGTATAAATAAGTCAAAGATGTCACAAATTGGTTATAAATGCAAAGTTGTTCTTGACAAAAAAGAGAGAGCGAGTTCTTACTTGAGTAAAAATTCCATCCTAAAAACAGTCACGGATTGTAATAATCAAATACTTATTATGTCACTACACAAGCACAAAACATACTCACAAGATGAAAGACGGAAATCAAACGCTAAACAAACAGTAAGGACAGCCAAATATATACACATATCAACCCCACTCTGTGCCAAACAACAGAATAATACGTTAAGTTTTGAATTTTGAGTCTGCGTGTTTTAAATCATCAAGCAAGTAAAAATAAGATTCGTCGAGTAAATCTGTGTCATTGATTAAATTAAGTCCCTGAGTCTGTTTCTTAATATATATTGTTTCCGAAATCAGTCTTTTATAAAAATTCGATTCAATATCTAAAATTTCAATGTTTTCCCAGTCAAAAGAATGATCATAGTCAATACTATGTTTGGAAATAACAGAAAGCTGTGAGGTATCCTTTTTGATGTTATTAATGTGTTCTTTTGTTCTTGTTTTAAGCTGTCTCTTAGTTTGTCCCACGTAAGACGCACAACAGTTTAAACAATTAATTTTATAAAACACATTATTGTTAACCATATGAGGAGTACGGCCTTTTTGAGTTTTAATAATTTTATTCAATCTAAATAAGCATTTATAGCCTATAATGTTGTCTTTTTTATTAAACGCATGTGTAATGTTTTCAGAAAGATTCTTAATATAAGGAATAGTTATTAATTGTCTATCATTAGGTTTAAGAGTAGTAATGTCAAAAGATTTATTAATTTTTTTAGAAATAAAGTTTTTAATCCTACTGTTAATATT